AGGGACGGCTAGCGCAGATAGCCCTCGTGTAGCTTTGCGCGAAATTCAGAACAAACAGAACAAACAAGCTAAGACGTCTCGACTTTACATGGTAATTTTAATGGTTTTGTGACAAACAGTTAAATTGAACAAGAAATTACTCAGTAAATAGAACATATGTTTAAGCACGAGTTTGTGTGAACTGAGCTGTTTATTTAATTTTTTCATAAATTCAGTTGTAAATAGTCATTGACTGCTATGAGTATTTTCTTATGAATAAGAAATTTGTTTATTAGAACTCAAATTTCTATAGAATATTTAATGAGTTTAAAGTTAGTAGATTTTTATTACGGTATCTTGTACTTAGTTTAAATCTGATGAGTTCTTGACGATTCTTTGTACTGTTATTGTCAAAAAAGCACTAGTACTAGAAACCTTAATAGATGTTAAGTTAATAAATGATTTGATATGGAAGGAAAGTTACGAATTTTAGTAAATGTTTATTCAGGGTGTAAAAACATATATAACACCTATTTTAAAATTACACACGATTTGCAAGAATACGGAATTTTTCTTTTCTAAATACGAATGCATATAAGCATCAGATACCAACTTAATATTTCACTTTATAGCTTTGTTTCTACCATTTAACTTAATTTGTTCTCATAAAGTGTTTATAAATTTTATGTAAACATTTGGGTTACCATTTATCAAACGAATACTAAATAATCAAACCTTAACGCGTAAAATTTCTTAACATGATTATACCTTCCACTAGGTATATGTATTTTGTACATAATTTTATAAATGGGAAGTTTACCTACAATATTATTCTGTCGCAAACAGTTTATCAATTAATAAAATATTATCATGTTTTAGTAACATGCAGAACTGTATCAATAGCTAAGTTTGTTTTACCATATGATGTGGTGTTGCTTGAAATTTGAGTAATAAATTGTATAAAAAAAGACTAATGTTAATATTGCCCAGAAACTTTAATTGGATAGTGTTTTCCCAAAAAAATCAAATGTTGCAATAACATGAATAATTATAAACACATTTACCTGATTTCATGTAGTACTGGATGCTTAGTAAACGAGGAGAGATCAGAAGAGATGAAGCTTGTTTAGACTTTGCGGGTCAAGATGTGATACTCTATCCTTGTCATGGTTCCATGGGCAATCAGCAGTGGATTTATAACCCAAATGTAAGCAGGGTCCAATAGATAAATAGAAAGATTCGATAGATAAAATCCATTGTTCAGACTTTTACCTTTCATCTGTTTTAATTACTGTAATATCTATATTGTACTTACAAACTTCATTACAGTAAAATTTATTATTAAAATTTTATCTTATAGATAAAGCCACTCTCCAGAATTTTACTTTTCATCTATTTTAATCACTGTAATATCTATAATTTTTTGTACAAAAAATTATTCTTAATTATTTTCAACAATTATATCAAACAACATTTTTCACAGTGAGGATTAGAAAATTTCTATTCCTAATAGAGAACATATAAATACGAAAATTTGAAGATAGTTTCAAACCTTTGTAAAACGAGAGAGTAAAATTATAGTCCTGAGAAATCTCTGTTTTTTGAGTTATCTGTAACACACTGCTTGAAAATTTTTAAAAAATTGTGTTCCAAATGAAATATCCTCCCTAATATCATGTAATTAAAATTAATATTTATTTTGAAGACCTACAGCGTTGTATCATTTGTTAGTTTTTATATGTGTTCCAGGAAAACTTATATATCATCACCATTAACTATTTCGATGTTTTTAAAGATATACAAATTTGAAAAAATTATATTAAATATAATACTTTTTATCTTTGAAGAAACATTGTAATTTTAATTAATTAAAAATATATAGCTTAACATTTATCTAAAATTGAAATGATTTTTTTATATTATACACAGAACCGAATACTATGCTATGTTTTCGCAGAGAGACATACTGTGTTTCTATTGTTTCTTCATCTTTCTTTCTTTTTTCTTCTTCCAAACACTTTTCAATCAACCACCATTCCTTCACTTCTCAGCGAGTTGACTTGAAATTTGGGAGGGTTATAACTTGGTCCAATACGCCCAGAAGCCTTTTTCCTTTTTTCTGATTAAGGCTTTTTTGAGGATTTTAGGGGTCAAAGGTCAAACAACCAGAAAATGTATATTTTGGGCTCCTGTGCAGTCGTATTTACAGCAACCAAGATGAAAATTGACAAAAATATAAATTTTCATTCGCCCAGCACATTGAAATGCAAAAGAGTTGGATTTGTAATTTTGAATCTTTTTAGGGGAGGTCAGAATTCACAAAAAAGCATAATTTTAGGAGTTGTGGTCAATTAATCGGCCATATCTTGACCATTTTACATGGGATTTCATAAAAAGATACTTTTTTACAGGTCCCACACATTAGCAAAAAAAAATAGTGGACTTGCCCATTTTTAGTATTAAACGGGATCGATATGCCACAAAAAAAGTATAATTTGGGGTTATTTGACAATTACTTCGCCGTACTTCGGCCAAGTTACATGGGATTTGGTATAAATATATTTTTTACATGTCCCATACATATACATATAAAAATGTGAGATATGTCTATTGTTGGTCATTTAAAGGGGTCAAAATTTTTAAATAAACCCTTAATTTTATGAGTTTTAGTCAGTTACTTAGCCTTGTTTCGACCAACTTACATGAGATTTGTTTAAAGATACTTTCTTGCAGGTCCCAAATAGTGCTATACACAGTTCTCGATTTTTTGTGTTTTTCATAATTTTTCTGTTGTCAAAATTGGCCATGTTGTGATTGCGTTGTGGAAACATGTCGCATTCGCCGGCAAATGTTGGCCTCTTTAATATTTATGTTTTGGAGCCTTACCATATCATTACACTCTATGTCACCATGTCTGCTCATGCTTTATCTGACGACCATGATTTCTGTCAAAGGCTCTGCAGGGTACTATATTTTCAAAGGGCTCATTCTAAGGCTATCATGTCCTATGCACATCAAACATATAGTGTACATGGACATCGGTTTCCCAGTTATTGTTTCAGTAGTACGATCGCACAGAAGCCCATAAGTGCTATGTTCCATGATTTGACTGGTATGTAATTGTATGGAACAACATGAATATCTATTTCATCCGCCAACTGTTTGAAGTATGCGTCAGTTAACTGGAAGATATGACTGGAAACCCTATATTTGTGAATGCATACCCTGTTCGCCTCGTTTCCATGAAAAGCCGATATTTCTGTATGGTACAAAGGGTCCAGAACAGAGTTCATCTTGAACTTTGTATCCATTTCCTGATCTTTAACTTTTCTCTGGAGCATTATCCAATAATGATCATAAATTCTTTTGAAAAAAATCCCTGACAAGCCAAGTAACACTTTTGAATTTTTTTGTTTTATTTGGTAGGAAATGACATGAGACTTATTACAGATATAAAGGTACATATACACTTTGTGTTTTACCACGTAGTGTTTTCTTCCCTGGTTATATTCTGTTCATACAGTCGGTCTTTCTTTCCTGGATATATCGTGGAAGCAGATTGTGTAACTATTCCAGACAGAGATCCTTACTAATTATGTTGTATACTGTTTCCTGAAGCAAATGAAAATCTTTTGCCACTGATATTTGTGTTTTTGGATTCTCACCTAGTGGTACAGGCCACTTTCTGGACGATATTGGTTCATCAAAATGATCCATATTCCTTTGTTTCCAGTGCCATTAAGTACTAGGATTATTTCAGTCTTGAAAATCATAAATTCTGGATCTGAACACATCTTTATGATTTAAGTGTATAACTATTTTGGATTGGAAAGGGTTGTTACATATCCTTCCCAAGAGCAATAAGTTATTGGTGGCCACCTTACCTGTGAATTACATTTTCAAATTATAGTCTTGACACAAACTGTTCCACTATGATTTTATATCAGCTGTACTTGTTATGCAACCTGCTGATTTGCATACTCAAAATTATTTTAATTTAATATATTCAACCCTCTATACAAAAGCTTACTTTTATATTCCCTCTTCTGGATTTTACAGAATCACAGTATTCAGCATGGTAGCAGTCGTAAGTGTCTGGAAATGGCACCTGATAAACAAAATGTGTTTATGAAGGAATGTACAAACAGCTCTCTTCAACGGTGGATGTTCCAGAATTACAACCCGTCCAAATCAGTAAATCTATTTATCTATTCTTAAAAGATACTGGAAACCATAAAGTTGCCACACTATATACTATGCTCATTTGGCATGAGGATCTATCATTCCATCTCAAACCAAACACTAGGATTATGAGGATAGTTTTGTATAGCTATTAACTTGGAATTGTATTGAGAGATATGACATGGCATATAAATTTATATTTGTTAAGGTAGTGTTATGTGTGTTATCTGAAAAGCACCCAAAGTGCCCTTCTGACCTCTCAGTAATTATGTTTTGAAGGCTGTGGAATTTAGTGTCAATCCTCCAATGGTCTTCTTTAAATAAAATATTAATTAGGGAGGAGAATTATCACATATATTGGTGTGTGCTTATAATTAATTAATTCATTATATATATTTATATATATAATGACACATGAAGACTGTTGCTATAACTGCGTCCAAAAGTTTGTAAAGTAAAAAAATGCAAACAACACGAAAAAGAAAGATCTCACTCTAAAGTGTTGACATATTAGGTTACCACACGTTCAACATGTTAATCTTGTTTATTATATGTAGTTTAAAACATAGCAAGCATTTCAAAGTGAAGTTATTGTTTACATTGTAAGAATATTAAAAGAAAATACAAAGGTGCCTTAATTAGTATAATATGTGCATGTGTATGTGTTCGTGTGTAAATATGCATGCAAAGATTGTTACAGGATATTAGTTCAGTAAAAAATAACGGTCTATCAGGCGAGAATTTCACTGACTTTCAGATTTCTTTATTTACACATAGTTTGAATAGTTAATCCTTCCAAATCTGGAAAACCACAAAAAATGGCCAGAAAATCAGTTCTAAATATTTTCCACAATTTTCCCATAAAAATGTTACATTTCACATACCATGTACACTAAGTGTCCATATTCCTGCTTCAGTCATTACTCAATTCATTAGAAATGTCATAGCTAACTGTCACAGCATATTGTGCAATACAAGGTATGGAAATCAGGGCCGTACCGATGTTTGATGGCGCCCTGTGTGACATAAATTCGGCGCACCACAAATCTTATTATTCTAAATATTTACAATACATTATATAAACTATTATAATCATTACAAATTACAATTTTGAAAAAAATATAAATCGTGCATACATTCAATTTATTGTTCAGCACAGTTTGAGTGTTGAAAAAAAAACCAACCACAGAATTCTTAGTAAACAATTTGAAGCTACGCATGCGTGACTTCCGAGTAGTTGACTGTTTACAAGCATACATTCAACAGGTAATATAGAACTATTTGTCCCCTCTACGAGGACTGCCTTGATCCAGGCAAGTAGCCATTAGTTCGCTTTGTTAATCAATCGGGCAGTCGGTGCCCTAATGGAAATAGTCTGTAGGCCTGTGTTCTTTTTGCTGTTTGAGTCCTGGGAATTAAGATTACTAACATTATGTGTGCATAATACCCCACTACTCTTATTTCCCCCAAAACATAAGCAAAACCAAGCTAGTATACGTGGGACATTCTGACTTTCATGATGAATTCAAAGAGAGTACACTTTTCTTGAAACATTGAGAGATTGAATCTTTGGTCAGAGAAGACCATTATACTTTTATTACTTACTAATCCAAACATCATACAATCTGCCCTTATGTTTCAGGAAGACCATTTGACCATTCCTTTCACTAACACACACACACATTACATTGCCTGCTTCAGCTTATATATATACAGTATCGGTAACCACAGGCATTTAGCCAACTGTGTAAAGTCCAAAGCCACATCACCTGCTTCAATTTGTTTTGTTGTTTTTTTTTCACTGACCTTTCTCTCATTAAACCTTCGGATTCTACAATCTGTTGGAGTGTGTTTGTTTCTTTTACAGTTCAAGCATGTGTATGTGACAACTGAATAATCAATTTCTACATTTCTTATGAAAACAAGTTTATAGCAGTTGTAAATAGCACTGATAAATCTCGCATAATTATCTAAAAATTAATTCGCAAGTTGGCAAACAACGATTTATAAGCACGATGAAGTGATTTATTTTGAGTGAACATACTACGTGTTTTATATTATGTTCTCCCAAAATATATATCACTTCATTATCCTTATAAGTTATTAGTTGCCAAATTATTATCATATTAGCGTAAAGTGCTTCCTTACTCAAGAAGCTGCAGGTTGGTAAAAAACATGTCCAATAGCTTCCACTGTTTTAAGACTGATTATTGTTTCTATTACCCAAAACACTTTTGTGACAAGTCTTGAAAGATTGATTCACCGTATAGGATAATGGTTGCACCACTACTGCAGAAAGAATTACATCTGGATTCCCATGTTTGTTTTGTAAAGGAGGTCTAATGAATCCCTAAAAACTCTATTCATGACAGCAATGTCGCATAGATCTACTCAGATGCGAGTATTTTCAGTGGCATTTAGAAGTATGTGACTTGTGACTGCTCCACTCTTATTTTGTCCATCAGTAAGATATGGCCCAATGATCTACATAGGAACTCAATATGGATATAACCATCACTGATTCATTTATATAAAACTCTGAAGGCAACACCTTTTACCAACAGGTTCTGGACAAGAATAACTGATATGTCCGAATTCAAGATACAGAGGAGGAAGTGTCAGGTGTATCTCTTTACTCCAGAAATATTTCCTAAAATCAGAATTGTAAACGGAATTCTAGTGGATAATGTCAATATGGAGTTTAACAGCAAGAATACAACACACGTAGGTTCTCAAAAATGAAATCTTGGATGACAGGTAATCAAACTGATAAGTGGTCAGTCCTATCAGATTAAAGTATTAATCAGTTAGCTTATGAGACCTGCGAAAGTCTATTCCACATTTTTTTTATTGCTGCTCTTGTGATCTCCAAAAGATCAGTCGCATTTGTCCAGTTGCAAATAGCATGGAGTTTCATCTTTCCATTCATTACCTGGCATGAATCCGGTGCAAACTACTTTCTATCCAGTAACTTTTGCAGCAATGAGCCCCAGCAGAGACGAAAAATGTTATGCATAACAAATACATGGTTTCAGCTATAAATGATACAACAATCAACTGATTAAGTATTTGGCGGTAGGTCTATAGTGCGTAAAGGAGTCCTTTTTGCGAAAAGGATATTCAGTTTACAAAAAAGGAGTTAATATGATAATGTAAATCATTTAATTGTTATTTCTGTAGCTTTATATAAATATCAAAAAAGAAAACATATGTATTGCCGCAAAAATAAATACCAAATCGTAACTATTAATTGATTACTTTTATCATAACGAGTCCTTTTTTTTATTTCATATACTACTGCGAATTTACTTTTCCTACTGTGCGTAATGTCTTTATTCAGAAATGAGTATTAAAACCATATTTTTAACAAGCCAAAATTGAAAGTGAACATAATATTATATAATTTTTATTGTTTTCTTTCACAAGTAACCTTTTCGCGTTATAGGCCAACCCCATATTCGGTATGTCTTTGTCTATTGCCTTGATGCTTAGTTTTAAACACTTATGATTGTACAGTGTGGTTTGCTTAAGGTTAAAACTTGAATCACTTCTGTTAGTTTCACTGACATCTGGAAGGGAGAGCTATCAGACGTACACCATTTGGAGAAATAGTACCGTCAATAACATTTGTTATAAATGACACTATCTTGTCTGTTTGAAGGTGGCTTAATTCTCCATTAGTTGGTCCTATTATACACCATCTTTCTTTAAGTACTCACTTCAAATAGCATATCACCATACCTCTCATCTGCGTTCCTTTGGCATGACTGAGTTATGTCTTCCGAACAATTAACAGTATTTCAGTGTGTGCGTTATAAACCATACTAAGCAATATGTCAAAACAGTATTGGCTCCATTAGCTAATGTCGTTATTATCTCTAGTGAGCAAGTTGAAATTTTACTAGATGTTATATAGGGTATACAGTTATTCTACTAGAGTTACTTCGTGGTTGCCTTTTGCATGTTGCACATTTGTATCACAAAAATGTTTAGATAATCTGGAATATGGAAAAAGCTGTACCTTGATTTTTAGGATAAACAGTTTTTATGACAAATTAGACTACAAACTTTAAATAATATATATTAGTATTTATCACACCTCAATACGATAAACAACATACTGAAAACTACAGTGGTTTTAAAATGATGACTACAAGCTAAAAGGAGAAAATTATCTTAACTGTTGTTATTGTATTTTTTATCATAAAGCTACACAGTGGGCTATATTCACTCTTTCCACCATTGGAATTTGACCCAAGATTTTATTGTTGTAAGTCCATAAACTTACCACTGACTCACCCAGGGGAAATAAATTACCTTATTGCTGAACAAAATTGCATTAATGGGTAGGTCTACATAAGATTCAATACACACTGTTAAAATAATGCTGTGATAGACAATATCTGGAAAAATACCCTATAGTTTTATTACAGGTGAAACAATTTTTGGAAGTCACTTGTGGGCAACATTTTTATCTTATAGACCTTTGTCCTTTCAAAAAACGTCTTTCTTGCTTGATATACAATAAATATAATATATAAACACCTTTTGAAGATATTAACATTCATTTTTATTATTAGTTGTGTGTAATTGGAACAACACAGACTGTAAATGATAAGCTGCACATGAGCTGTTTCTTTGAAATCAACTTTTACGGTTCTAACATAAAATGTTTGAGTTACTATATAAACAACAGCTATGGAATATTTCACTAAAAATAATCAAATAACTAGTTTTTCTTTCCACATACATATATACTTGAATTATAAGAATAATTTACTAATATTATGAAAGAATTCAATATTGATTATTTACTGATCTGAACATTTTTTAGTTTGTTAAAAAAGCGGTGTTGTTTTGTTCTTTTTTGCTAAATTCAATTTTAAAAGTATATTTTATTGAACTTCTAAAAGTTATAGTTAAATTCATGGAATTGTTTCAGTAACTCATTTAGTTTATTTAGTCTGAAAGACTGATAACCAGTAGTAGTTGAAAATGAATTATTGCTTAAGTTTTTGATGTTTCAGTAATGTGACTGAAATTACATTTACCAGCCTAACATGAAACTACTAGTATAAAAACTGTAATAAATAATAACTCTTAACAAAGCCAATTTCACTTAATCTGCCTCTGAATTTCCTGTTTTTGTATCTTTGTAGTTATTAAAGGATAGAAACAGCTTGTATTAGTTTGAAATTAAAGTTACAAAATTTTATTTCTTGTTTTAAACAAGTTTATGACACATTACCAGTACAATAAATTTACTAAATAGAAAACAGTAACCTTATATTAGAAAGGCATACTGTTAAGCCTATATTTATTTATTTCCATTTATTGTCATCTAGCAAACAAATTACACTAATTTTCTCTATCAAAAACAAAAAGACCTGAAGTCACCTTCTCATATTTGTGAATGCTTACACAACACTGATGTTT